CAATTATAAATGTAGATGTAAGCTATATATATATATATATATATATATATATATATATATAAAAGAAGCATTTTTTTAGAAAATAGAAATGAAAGAAAAAAAATCTCTCAAATATTCAATTTTTAGATGACTTTTCGGTAAATTTTGAATCAATTAAAGAAAGTAGAGTAATTGAGATATGAGAAAAGGAATCAATAGATGATTTCAATATTGAAGTTGAGGAGGACCCAAACTTCAATCCATTATTTCCTAATTAGTTAACCAGTCAGTAGGGGTCACTTTTGCTCAATTATACTACTGAAAGTGATCCAATGTACGTACTAAGAGGCATGGCCACAAGTGGCACAATGAATATTAGGATAACATGAAGTTGTAGCTCGAGGGCAAGTCGACTATCATAAAGGTAATTATTGTCGTCTTTGCTCTGTGTTCTTCCTCGATGGTAATAGGGAGGACGGTGGTCCCGAGCAGGGAGATGGAATCCCCAGTGAATCCGGTGAGCACCGAAGTCATGGGAGTGAGGTCCTTATTAGTGAGGTTGAGTTTCTTAAAAGCGTCGAGGTATAGGACATCGGCAAAGCTCTCGGTGTCAACCATTACTCTTTTGACCCAAGCATTGGCGATCCGGATGGAGATCACCAAAGCATCATTGTGGTGGGATCACTCGACCTCCTTGGTTCTGAAAGTGATTTCGGGCTTGAACTCGGGTTGGGGGCATTTTTCTACCGTGCTACAGGCGTAGGCCTTCCTTGCTGTCGAACTGCTGCCGCCGACAATCGGTCCACCGGTAATGACATCGATCTGCCTCTCGACAGGACTCCTGGGGCACGAAGTGGCTTCTGGTTCCTTGAGGTAGCGCCCGAGGTGACCTCTTCGGATCAATTCCTCGATTTGATTTTGGAGGTCGTTGCAGTCTTTCGTGTCATGGCTGTAGTCTCGATGGAACTTGTAATATTTAGATCGATCCTTGTGAGTAGCCTTCAGAGGATTGGGTTGCCGCAAGAGACCTTTCTCCTTGATCTGGAGAAAGATCTCTGTACGAGACGTGTTTGAAGGCAGAGGCGGGGTCCTCGGGAGTGGTGGCTTGGGTTGGTCGGGCCGCCTATGAGGCTGCGCTGATGGTGTCGAAGCTGCTCCTCGAGCCTACTCCATCCTTGGCCTCTTATTGTCCTCGTGCCAACTTGCCATTAGGGCTTCAACGGTGATGTACTGGTTGGCACGCTGTAGCATCTCGGGGATGGTCGCGGGTGGCTTCTCAATTAGTGACAATAAGAACCTCGAGGGTCTCAAGCCCATCAAAAACACCTGTATGATCAAAGAAGGGTGAGCGTTTGGGAATCCCTGAATTTCAGTAGCAAAGCATGCCACGAATTGGGAGAGCGATTCATCCTCGCATTGGGACAACATGAGTAGGGTGGCGATGGAAGGCTTGGGTCGCACGCTGGCTAAGAAGTTTTGCTTGAACTTCCTTGCGAGCCAATCGAAGGATGAGACCGAGAACGGGCGCAGCTAGCTGAACCATGCTCGCGTCGATCCTCTGAAGGTAGTTGGGAATGCCTGACACATCAGGGTATCGGAGGTGCCATAGAGGGCCATCTGAGCCCGGAACGCGGCGACGTGTTCTGTAGGGCTAGAGCCACCATCGTACATTTCCAGTGTCGGCAGCCTGAAGTTAAGTGGCATAGGCTTGTCCTATATTTCTTGAGTAAAAGGGGATCCACCCGAGCTACCTTCGCTCGTCTCGCCCCACGACTTTTGGATTTCGCGCTGGAACTCATCCAAGCATCAGTTGACTATGGATAGTTGGATTCTGAATGAGTCATCCGTCGAGTCTAATGATATGGTATTGGGTTCAGGGTGGGACGGAGCGATCTGGCACGGTGCGGGTGTGCTTTGCTCGGGTAGGCCTCTCGGGTTTATTGTCTGCTCTCGGGCTTCTCTCATCCTGAGTTGCTCCCTGCCCGACCTTTGCTACATCGGGTCGGTAGAGGGAGTCGCTAGTTGCACAATCTGTGGCACGAGTGGGACAATCGTCTGCATCATTCCCACCAAGGCTTGCACTTGCTTGGCTAAGCCAAGGATCGCCTCGGGCGACACGACCGAGGATCTTGTGGTATATCAGGGGGGAGAGATTCCTGGATCGTTGAGTAGTCGCCAGTAGTGGTCTGGCATCGAGGCCGAGATCCCTTCGTCTCTAAGGACGGGGAGGGGCTGATCCCTGAGTTCGGAAGGGGGGTGGCCTGTCGATGGTTCTCCCTCGGGGAGAACTCCTACTGAATGCTTTTGCTATATGACCCTTCCTCTAGTGCGAAAAATGTTGATGAACTGAGGTGCCATGGTTGATGAGTCAACACGGCCTAGTCCACGAGTCGATGTCGAGAGTCAAAGATCGGCTGAACGGGTAGCCGAGGTTGATTGACTGCAGGTCAGGTGCTGCCATCGGGATGTTGATCGGTGTCCCTCGGTTGAGAGGTGGCACTAAGGGGATGTCCACTCTCTTGAATAGGAAGAACTGGGCGTCGTTGCTGGGGATGCTGGATTCGTCTAGAGGAAGACACCTCTCGGTCAGCGATGGTTGTGCCTTGGGAGGGGGTGGCTGCTCTCCTGCACAAAAGGCTCTCGTCGGGTGGTTACCGACTTTGGCCCCTCAACGAGTAAATTAATACTTGGTTCTCAGTGTGTGGTCCTCTCTTTGGCCAGATGCCGGCCTGAGGTTTTATAATACTGTATGAGGATTGGTCGTACACGGGTTTGGCTTGGCGGCAGATCTCCAAGGGGGAAGATAGTACCTTTGTGCAATCGTCATCTCGAAACACATGGAATGGCACTAGGTGTCGCCGTCCCGAGCTTTCTGGGATGGGACGTATCGAGGGACGCCTTGGTACGGATTCTAGCTCAGCGCATGGGAGGGCTCCTCTTGCTGACCTGGTGGTGAC